TTTATAAAGCTGGGGCCCTGGGGACGCGTGAGGTGCAGCAAAAGTTGTGTGCAAGGAATCAGCCGGAATTAAGGCTGGAGGGAGCTGAAGTCTGAATGCCCTGCTGAGCCATGGGCAGTGCAAAGCATAGTGAAGGGAGGCTTTGAACGGGAACTGGGATGATCTGAGAGTGGGTTTTAAGGTGATCAATCTTGGCAGTGGTAGAGAAGAAAGATTAGACGGAAAAGAGATTGGAAACCATTTAGGAGGCTATTGAAATCGTCTGGGGCAGCAATAATGAGAGTCTGAAATAAAGCTGGATGCCATGGGATAGAGAATGAAAGAGTGGATTTCAAGAGGTCTTAGCAAAGGACGCTCAAGTCACTCAATTTTTCCAGAAGCAAGAAAATGTGAAACGGGGTTGTTTTTCCACTGCTAACTCATAGTTGCTATTTTTAAAGAAAGATAAGATTTCACTGCATTAAAAAAAAAAGATTTCTTGCATAATTTAAGAATGAGTACTGTCACAATAGTACTGAACTGTTTCCCGGGTTCTTTTGAATTTACGAATTCTACTAAGAATGCGATTTTTTAAAGTTTTTACCCTGTTTTCAAGTAAAAATTTTAATTGAAGAAGTAAAACATACAAAAGAAAAAATCCCAAACAGTGCACAGTGACAGAGGAAACAAAATCTCCTCTCTCATCTGGGGGCCTCTGTTCTGTATTCTAGAGACAAACATTGCTATCATTTTCTAATACATTATTCAAAAACGATCACTGCATTTGAAAGCTTAAATGCATACCTATATTCTCCCCCTCCATCTTTGGAACAATACGCTCCCATTCTGCCAATTGACTTTCTTTTCCCTCTCTGCTTCCACAATGCTTTCTCTAGCATGGGGTTTTGTGATTCATCACTAATGATATCTGGCGCTGGATTATTCTTTGTTGCGGGGTGTGTCCTGTGCAGTGTAGGTCCCAGGAATGTAGAAGCATCCCCAGACTTTATCAGATAGATGCCAGTAGTCCTCCCTAGTTGTGACAAACAAAAGGTCTCCAGCTATTGTCAAATATTCTCTACAGGACATGATTGTCCTGGTGCATCCTGGACACACCGCTCCAATAAAGCATATCTATCATGCTTCTTTTTATTAAATCCAACTGTTTTTGTCTCTCTCCCCACAAGTCTGTATCCCTTTTTAGAGCAGGTATGATATCTTAGCCGTTTCTTCATTTTTCTGACCTAGTCCTGAGTTTACACCAACTGACTCACAAAGAGTTATTAAATGAAAGGAAGAGACAGGGCATTGAACGCAATTAATGTATACCTTAAACACCATGAAATTCTCCCCATGAAATTCATTAAGGTAGAAAGTAATAATCAATTAATGGTAATAACTGTCTGGGTACTTGTAGGGGTTACTAAGCATCATAGACACTTTAATCAGCAGGGTTTTCACATCATTTGGAGAGGCAAAAACCTAGACATGTGAAAAGGACACCAGCCACATAGGGCAGAGCATATGGTGCCCGAATGAATGATGCAGGGAATAAATACTATCAAATCTAGCAAAAGCAGAGAGGCAAGTCTTATAGTTGTGTCACTAGGTTTTTGTTTTGTTTTGTTTTTTAAAGATTTTATTTATCTGACAGAGACACAGCGAGAAAGGGAACACAAGCTAGGGGAGTAGGAGAGGGAGAAGCAGGCTCTCAATGGAGCAAGGAGCCCAATGTGGGGCTCGAACCCAGGACTCTGGGACCATGATCCGAGCCGAACTAAGGCAGACGCCTAACAACTGAGCCACCCAGGTGCCCCATAGTTTTTGAATGAATGATTCATAAGTTATGTGTATGTGTGTGTGTGAGAGAGAGAAAGAGAGAGAGAGAGATTGAGGGACCGTGACAGAGAGAACAGGTGAGAGATAGAAGGAGGGAGGGAGAGGGAGAAAAAGGAAGTGTTATTTGGGCTGAGCTGAAATGCTGAGGCTACCAAGGTCTTGGCAAAAGCTAGGGAGTTAAGAATGAAAGAGTTCCCCCTGAAAGCTTGAGAAGTTGACTTTAGACCTTTCCTCAAGTCATCCTGAAGACTTAGATTGGATGGTGGTTGAGGATGGCCGATCCGGATTTCTTACTGATGTTTTAAGGAGTTCAATGTTCCAAGAAATGTAATATAGAATGTGGCCACGAAGAAACCTCTTCTCTCCTTCCCTCCGTCATTTGCTCCTTCAGTTTACGTCGACTGTGTGCCACCTAAGTATCAGCTAGGTGCCAGGTCTCAGGCATGCTGCTGGGAGCACTCTGACAGGGACTCAATTCTGACTGAAGTTTGGTCAAACAAACAGAGCCTTCATAACGTGGACTATATGAACTCTGAAAGATCCGCGTGTTATTTCAAATTTCCAAACCATCTACATTCATAATATATATTTATCCTCTATTGTCTCTGGACATACTAAAGGCGGTTAAATATTACATCATAAACCTCCCAGATATTTCAAAAACTTTAAGCTACACTGACCACAATAATTGACTGGCCACTGTAGCATGACTTTCTTGGGACTGAAAAGCCACAGATATTCTATGCAGGGCATATAACTGCATAGATGTTTGGGTGAGACAGTGAGGAATCTCTAATAAAACAGAAAATAGAGCCACAGTAAGAAAGTGGAATGTAATTATCCAGCTGGAATTTGGCCAGTATGGTAGACAGATTCTCTCAATTCCTGAGGAAGGGAACATCAGAACTTTTAACTATACTATGCTTGAGCCGCAAATATACATTTCTGACTCAAGCACAAAAGTACCCATTAGCTTTTGAATCTCTACCAGTCCCACCTCCTGACAACCCCACTGAAAATTTCAAAGTTGTAGGAGCTTGGATGCGAGCCATGAAGACCTTTACTTTGACAAAATTTGCATTTTTCTAGTGGACAGCAAAATTTGTATCATTTATACAGTAGACATTTAGAAAAACTCTACTAGTGTTTTGAGTGTTTTGAGTAAGTTCTCTAATTAAGGGGTGAAAGCTACAGTATCAAATACATGAATATCATCTCACTGCTGAGTCCTGCTTGGAAAACAATCTGTCCAATTCTAAATCTGGGAGGGCAAGGCCTTTTTTGATTATCAACTCCTTGAGAATTTCCTGAAAGCTATGAACCTATCTCTGCTCTCTTTTTTCTTTCGTGTGTGTGTGTGTGCACGCACATGCATTTGACTGCACATGTATATGCAATTTCACATAGCACCCACTTCACTGAATTCAATTCCTGGGTCCCCATTGTCCAGGTTTAGAAGCTATTATTCGGTCAGCTTGATTTTCTACAGGTTCTTAATTCTAGAGAGGAAAACTAAATTCTCTCCTGTAGCACATGAACTGCTAAGGAAAATTCTATGCCTTAGCTCTCTGGTTGGAGAGTTGAGTCCAACAAATTGCATATCTAGAGGACTTACACACTGAGCTCTTTTTTATCTTGAGATCACCAGACATCACACACATATCTGTGTGTGTGTGTGTTGATATCATCAGAAAATAGATTGTTTTATATTCCATATATTTTCTTAAGAGTTTATTCATTTATTTGACAGAGATCACAAGTAGGCAGAGAGGCAGGCAGAGAGAGGCAGGGAAGCAGGCTCCCCGCTGAGCAGAGAGCCTGATGCGGGACTCGATCCCAGGACCCTGGGATCATGACCTGAGCTGAAGGCAGAGGCTTAACCCACTGAGCCACCCAGGTGCCCCCTATAAGCTAAATCTTAAACGCACAGGTACCTTATTTCAATGATGAATGTCTTGGGATTAGCTGCTTAAAATATTTCCAAAAGGATTTTACATGTTCTAAGTACTTAATGTTGTTACCCTGAACAAATTAGGGCATCTGAATCCAATAATTCAACTAGGTTTCCCCCCCAGTTGGGATTCTTAAATTACTCAACACCCAATATGCCAGGTATATTTGGAAGCTACTTCTTCAAAACTATCCTTTTTTAAAAATTTAATTTAATTTTTTTTCAGCGTTCCAAGGTTCATTGTTTATGCACCATGCCCTGTGCTCCATGCAATATGTGTCCTCCTTAATACCCACCACCAGGCTCACCCAACCCCTCCACCCCCCTCCAAAAAAAAACCCCAAACCATTCTTTTCTTATTGAAGACTTAAGATAATCTTTATATCATCTTACTAGGTATTCTTTTAAAAAGTGTCTGGTTCTCACAGCAGACATGCATTTATCCTCTCTTCCTTCTATCCTATATAAGTTCTGTAACTGGACATATTGAGGCATTAAATCAATATGTTTATTGATTATCTACAAGGCATTGTGTCAGATAGGATGGGGAATTTAAAGATGTACAGGACAGGTCTTCTGGAGAATATCTACTGTTGAAGATATGACATGGACCAGAATAATCTAAACTTAATGTTTATAACTGTTATTTATAGCATTGTGTGTAGAAGGTAAATATATTTGTTATATTTATCTGACAAAAGATAACTTTATTTTACCTCAGAACATCATAGTAAATAGAGGGTTCGACATCATCATTTAAAAAAGAAAATTTATTTATTTCGTTTTTTTTAAAGGAGCTAGAAATTTAGTGAATACGCCATAAGGGACCAGCGGGCAGGACAGCAGAGAAGAGGCTGCCTGCCAGGAGGCCAGTGGGTGAAGGCTGCTTTTGAGGGAGGAGGGTGAGGGAGTATATTGACATATGGGATTTTCCCCTTTTTGGTAACTGTGCCTGGTTGCAAGTAGCCCATTGGCTAGATAGGGCCTATGGATACTTCGAGGTGGGTCACCTGATGGGCCTGTCTACATTCAACCAGTGTCACTATGGGCCCTTTTGCCTTGATCAAATTTGTATTGCTTAAGCCTGTTGCCTAAAAGTGGCCTCTATATCCACACCCCAACCCCCTGAACAATTTTGACTCTTAAATCTTTAAGGTGCTGACAGCATCACCATTTTTAAAGTCTTTCATGAAATAATAACATTTTTTAAAAATTAGTGTTTATCTCCTACCAGACAAAGCTGTCAAATTTGCATTTTTGATGAAAACTTCAGTTATTCCAAGAGCCTTCAAAACATCTTTTAAATCAATTTCCTGTTCCACGGTGAACCTGGAGGACACATGGGGGAAATGCATTTAGTTACAGCATTTTTTTTTTTTTTAAAGATTTTATTTATTTATTTGACAGAGAGAGATCACAAGTAGACGGAGAGGCAGGCAGAGAGAGAGAGAGAGGAGGAAGCAGGCTTCCTGCTGAGCAGAGAGCCCGACGTGGGACTCGATCCCGGGACCCTGAGATCATGACCCGAGCCGAAGGCAGCGGCTTAACCCACTGAGCCACCCAGGCGCCCCTAGTTACAGCATTTTTAAAGTATTTAGTTACAGTATCCTGTAACCTGGGACAAGAATAGAAATGTTGGATATGTTGATTTTAATGGTAAATTATGCTAAAACTGGGTGGCATCTGACTGCAAGTAGTACTCGATTGGGCTCATAAAAAGAGGAGACAGCAAAAAGAATATTGTATCAGAATAGTATTAGATTATTAAGTAGGAAAAGTATTTGATGTGGACACAAAACCGTAATATATAGGATGGAGTAAATGTTTTAAGGTCCAGAATATAAAACTCGTAACTCAGTAGCCTTCAAAATTGTGTGACCTAGTAATACATCTGATTTTTTAAGCTGTCAATGGCTAATCAAATATTTACCCAAGGCATTTCATTCTCTTAGTATCCTTGCTCAGCTTCCTGTGAAAAGGGAAAGCCAATGCTGTATCTAATTGCTGTATAATGGATACATCTTACATTTCAACTCCATACACTCACAGAAAGGAAACATAAAAAGCTATCAGGTTAACAATATGTATCTTCCTGGTTATATTAACCTTCAGGACCTAAGGCTTTTCTCCTGGTAGCATCACAGAAAAGATGTTAATCAACAAAAGTGAATTAAATATTACATCTTAAAAACTATACACTTTTACAATTATATTAGAGATTCTTTTTTAAGCAAAAGAATAACAAATTTGTATTTTTTGTTTTAATGGGCTTTATGAATTATACATAAATGTGCATCACATTTGCAAGAAGAAATAAAACATTACTTAAAACTCAAATGAAAATAAGTACAGTGGTCATGAGCAGAATGTTAATTTTTAAAAATGGTTTCCACAGACAGTCTGATTAGTCATATTAAAGAGTCTCTCCCAAACCAATGAATTGTCTCACCCATCTTTGGTGAGTGAAACATGGAGTGAAACATGGCTGCATTTAACACACAAATGCAGCATTTTTTAAGCAAAGGTTATTATTTTTTTATAAAAAGTGAGAATAACTAGAAGTAAATGTTTCCTTTTTGTCCTAAGATGTTGCTTTTTGTTCAATAAAGATCCTAAACGTAAGTTTTTAGGCAATGGGCTGTATCCTTAAAAGAGCTAAGTCTGTGACAGTCACAAAACATCACATTAGCATCATTTCTGATGTCTGGTTTTAAGAAGAATGACAAGGGAATTGTTGCTATAAACAAGACTCAGACATCAAGAGGAATAGTCAGGGGAAAACAGTTTTAGCAGGTTCATGTTTATGGAAAATATGATAAATAGAAAAATAAATGTATAGCAAGCATATCAAACCAAGTCCTGAATTTTATCTATATCCTACACTTTAACTTGGATTTAGCATTGTTTCTTTTGTTTCCTACAAAAAGATGTTTGTTGTGAAAGTAGAAAAGTGGGATGAGTAGGGAAGTGTGGACTGTCTCAAAGAATACCTTTGATGGCTTGATTAAGGTGTTTTGTGTGTGTGCTTTATATTTATTATTCATTAATTGATCTACCAAAAACTATTCCAAGACTCTAACAGGTTAATTTAAACATCACGAAAATCCTTGGAGGTCAGTATTATTATTATCCTCAGTTAATAGAAGAAGAAACCAAGGAGGAGAAAGATGAGATAACTTGACCAAGATCAGATGGCTAATAAATGGCAGATCAGGGGCACAGACTCAGGTCGTATTCTGTATGTTCTGATCCACTTAAAATAGGAAAGTGAAGGAAGAGATCAAGAGAGGATTCTTTGTGCTTCTTAAGAGTAACCTGGTTTGTCTCACACTTCTGAGGTTTGCTGCTTCAGGTGAGGATGGTAATTTAGCCAGACTGAATTTGGTCAAGTTTCTTAGTTTCTGAGCCTTGGATTTGGCTGACATTGATAATACCTGCCTCGTAGTATTGTCGAGGGAATTGAATAAGGTTTCTAGAAGTCTTAAAAAAAAAAAAAGTTTTTATTTTTAAGTAATCTCTACATCCAACATGGGGCTCGAACTCCTAACCCTAAGATCAAGAATTGCATGCTCTATCAACTGAGCCAACCAGGTGCCCCAAAGCTTTCTAGAAGTCTTAGGATGGTGCCTGTATGTAGGAGGCATGTAATAAAGGGCAGATTGGGTTGACAGCATTTACGATATTGCAGTTCATATAACATTCACATTATTATAGGTGTTAAGGTATTGTATATTTGCATTTTAGTAATGTTGGAGTAATTTTATTAAATAGCTGTTTCATCTCTGCTGCTTTAGCTGTAAATTAGTCAAACCTAGTGTCTTTTTTATTTCAATATCTGTAGTATCTAGCATAGGACAATATACATAGGTTGAAGGGAAAAAAATCTAGGTGACCATGAGAGTGTTTGTTCAAAGTTGAAGATGGGATGTGAACAATTTCTATTTATCCATCTCTTGTCTTTGTTTCCTTATCAAACTACTGAGAAACAGGTATTATCCATTTACTAACTCTTTTCTCTTAATAGAGACTAATATTCATATATTAGAGACTAATAATCTTTAATAAACTTAATCTTTAATACAGACACTAACAATCATTATCACCTCCCATAACTGAGGGCTAATAATCTTTAATAATCTTAAATAATCTTAAATAATCTTTAATATAGAGACTAATAATCATTATCATCTCCCATACCTGAGGGCTCACTGTGCAAATCCTTTTACATATGGTATCTCATTTAATCATCCCTATGATAACGTCACGGAATCCTAGGAGATGATGTATTGTTGTCTCTATTCTTCGGAAGAACAAACTGAAATTTAGTCAAGCCAAGCAACTTGCCGTAGTCACACGGCTAGTAGGTGGTAGAATGAACATATGAACTAAGGCCTGTCTGACGGCAAAGTGCCCCACCTCTAATAACTACAATTCTAACCATGGCTATTTAAAAACAAACAAACCATAGGTAGATTTTACATTTCGCCCACCAAACTTAAAAATAAAAAGCCACAACCTTGCTTTTTTAAACCCAAAGGCATGCCTATTTTAACAATGTAATCATGAGTTTGCAACTTTCTATCTGAGTAAGTTGAAGAGGTATGTAGAGGGCAAAAGCATCTCCACATCTCCGGTGTGGAGAGCAAGTGTTAGAAAAGAATAAATATATATTACATATAAGGAGATTTATACAACTTGTAAGCAATTAAGAAACTAATCAAGACACCTTCTGTAGAAAAGCCCAGTGAAAAGCACTTATGTTAAAGAACAGTATCGGATGGCTTATGTATTAGTTTTCTTTTATAAACATGAAACTAAAGTGCTTTATTTCTAAGACAATCATTTTCCAAGTAGAAGGATGGTCTCTGCTTACAAAATAGAAAACCACTTTATATCCATTGATTTACAGCACTCTGAGCCCAAATGACAAATCTGAGACTACAAGAGTCAGAGTGGAAAGATACGACAGCCAGGTACCCCTGCATTTCAAATATTAAGGTATTTGATTTTCATTTTAGAACCATCTTCTTGTACCTTACATAATGAAGAAGGTAATGTTCATGAGAATAAGGTTTTTAAATAATCTTAATGGAAGAAAAGTATATGTAAAGTTGCCCATAGGTTAACACAAGGTGAATACTAGGACTTAAAAGGTACACTGAAAATAAATAATAATAATGATAATACATAATAATTATATGATGTTAGGCATTATTCTAAAGTCCTTTTTAGATATCTTACATATATATTTTTAATCTATATTAGCAAAGTGTTTTTGCTACCATGAATATATTGGAAGAATATTTGGTAATGTCCATTAAATCTTAGAAATGTATGACTATGTATTAACCTTTTGGTATTTCACTGGATTTGTGATATCACATACATATAGCAATTTTACCCTCTCCTGAATAGAGTTTTGTATTTTGGATAAAAATACAATTTCAATTCAGTATCTGATTCCTATAGGGCTTATTGTTCAGGGGGAAAAATAATAAAAATACAAAAGTAGTTGCCCCCTTCTCCCCCCTAAAAATACCCTATACCTTTTAAGAAAGGCATTTAGAACCTATATGCATGAAATCTAATATAACAGAAAGTAAAAGCACCTGTGGAGCAGGACAAGTATTGGTAAAATTACAGAAATGCAAAGTTGCCATTTCAGAATAGTATCTCCATGTGAATAAAACTATACAAACATTTTAAGACAGACACTTGAGTAAACCTAGGAAATGGCTATTAAAACTTTTTAACCTCTGCTAAAATGAGGTCATAACCATCATTATCCTCATTGAACATTTAGTGGATTCTAATACTGTAAAATGGAAGGGGTAGATTGTTTCCTATTGATTATTATCTACACGTAAGTATTTGAAAACAGTCAATTTCTTAAAAAGGGAAACCAGATTCATGTTATGTAGCTATATTATGTTATGTAGCTATTTTCTCTCTATGCATTAACCAGGTAGAGGGAGAGTTCATAGAAATTCTGGAGAAATGGATACATGGTAATTAACTGTGCCTCGTTTAGTATCAGGCATTAATATGAGCAAACAAGCTAAACTATTTCATAATTGAAGAGTATCTCTTAGAAAATGAAAATTTAATTTTCTTCTGCTGCCATGTTCCATTTCTCAGTGGACAGGACCTGGAGGCCACATTTTCTAGTGAATATGGTTGAATTATAATATGTGATCCTTACTAAGCATTCATTTAGAATTCTGTTAAAATCGTCCTAAATAACTTTGCATTCTCACAGAATTGAAGCATTTGGCCATGTTGCACTTAGTTCATGGAATTTAATAAGGGAAGAGTTAACACTATACTGAATTTCACATTTTATCAAAAAGAATTTCTTTAAAAATATACAGAGACATACACAATATCAGTATCAGGCAAAGAAACATGAGAAGAGCATTTTAGGCCAATGCAAAAACATGCATAGAGACCCAGAGGCAGGAAAAAGCATGCAATCTGTATGTAGCATAGCAACAAGCACATGGATAGAACATGCTACCAAGTGTTGTTGTGGTGAGTGGCCCGAGGTCAGGTTGAGAAGAACATCTAGGCCCTGCATAGATTTTATTATTTAATCCACAGGGAGAATTTTAATCTTTCTCCTTCTTATTTATGATTGCATCTTGGCACCAAGCATAGTAACTTGCTTGCGCTTCTTCCAACAATGTGGGAGATTGTTTTCTCTCCAGCTATAATCAACTTTAAATATTAATGAAATACAGAAGACTGCCAATGCAAATGATATTCAGAGACGATCTACTGAGAAACATTCTAAAATGAAGCTAAGAATATTGACTAGGATCTGAAACTAGGTCTTGGGAAATAGTATTGAGTGAATCGATAAGGGAGCTTGTGTCTATGGGCAGGACCTCATGAGTACAAAAGACTATTTTTAAAAAAGGAGGAGGAAGGGAAGGAGAGGAAGGGAAGGGGATGAAAGAAGAAGGGGAGTAGGGGGAGAAAGTAGCTGAGACTTAAAATTCAAAGGTATTAGGACCTGAGTCAGAAACTACATTGAAATCTCTCCCACTATGCTGTTGGAGGGAGTCCCACAGGAGCATCTTACCTGGGCAGGTACACTTCCACTTTTTGTTTCTTCACAGAGTTTGCCCATTCTTCAATCAGTTGTGCTTTGACCAATGGCTCCAGAGTGGCCAGTGGAACTTCCTGCCTGGACAATACCAGCATCATACTTATCTCCTCTCCCTCATAGGGTATTTCTAGGACTTGGTAGATACCCCCAGCTTCATTGGAACCATCACTAAATTCTCCTAAAACAAAAAGAAAGGTGATAAAAGGCCCATATCCAAGTTCAAGTAAAAGGTTTAATTTGTTTTAACTTTCTTCCAAAATAGTGTGTATGTGTGTGTGTATCCAGGTATCTGAGAAAAAAGGCTTTTGGGGTTTTGTTTTGTTTTGTTTTTAAAGCTCCTGAAATCAAGTGATTCTTCAGTCCTAAAGTATTTATTTTATTTTAGAATCCCCAGGATTATATCATAATTTTCATAATATGTTCTCTAGACTTACTTTTTATTTTTAAATGAGATACTTCAGATGAATATTTAGTTAAAGAATATCTTTAGAAGCAATGATCAGTCCTGGTTAGAAAAATAAAGCCCTAGATCCAACTTAGATGTAGTTCACATTCACATTAGAAATCCCACTGGATTTCTAAGAAGGGAAAAATGGACTACGTAGTACCTGGGACTTTATTATTACCACAACTAAAAGTTTTGAGGCCAAGATAGCATAGTCAAAATGAAATCTATTACATTATCTAGGTAGTTATCTAGGGTATTTGTGGTGCTTAAGACCTCTATATTAGATAGTAAAGGTTGGTTAGGTAATGGGCTTTGTATTCCAATAACTTGGCTGAATTCACCAGGCTTCCATAAAAACATAAAGAAGTCCTTAAAGCAAATGGTCCTGTTGCTACCTTAAAATTTCCCCCATTTTCAAAAAGAAAATGTAATGCTTCTGTTATGAGCATTTTCCTATAACTAATCTAGGTCCTTTAGACCTTTGAACATTTTGGTTCTCAAGCTGAGTGTGTAAGAATACAGTTCATTGCAGCGTGTAAGAAAGATTGACACCCTAAACTTCTGAGAAGTCCAATGAAATAGCTCTGAAAACAATGCCGAGGATATTAAGTTGTATCACAAATCACAGACCTTCAATAAATGAAACTATGAATGAGTAATGACATCTGACCAAACATACACAGTCTGAAAGCAAAGTTTTAAAGAAATGCTTGTAATTCAAAAAGTGGTAAGGAATCCAAAGCAAGGGCAAAGCGGAACATATGGGTCACTGACAACCACCCCAAAGCCAAGGGCTTTCTGGAGTAACTCATAATGTTCTTTACAAGGCCAGGTATTTGCATATGGGAATAAAGCCGCTCTGCAGATGTAATCAACTTCATAATTTAAAGAAGTCTATTGGAAAACTGTCAATGCATGTAATATTCACTCAGGATCTAATTAGAGGCCTTTGAAAATGGAGCCAAGGAAATCGAATTGCAGCTCAAACGAGATTGACAAGCTATTTGAATAATAAATATTTCATGTTCTTTCTTAAAAATTCATTAATACACTGCAGGAAAAGAGAAAGAAAAGCCAGAATGTCTTACCATAATAAAATTCCCCTTGTTGATACATCATTGGAATTTGGACTTCACTTTCATCATCTTTGGTGAAGGAAAAGGTTCTAGTATTTTCAGGTCTAAATTGTGACTTCCAGCTCCCCTTGAAATAGACAGCATTGATGAGGGCCAAATGAGTGCTGGCATCAAAATCCCTGGGGGATACCAAATCCTTCAACAGACCTATTCAGGAAAAATGAATAGGTAAACATTCATATTAAATCCGAAGGTGAAAGGGGACAAACTACCATCTGATAGAGTAATCCAGAAAAAAATGTGTACCATTACCAAATTTACAAAAAAATTAAGTGTCATGCTTTCAAAGGAAAAATGTTACATATACATCCACACATGCATACACACACACAATACAGATTAAGGAGGTCTAAAACAGACCGACCTAACATAACACTGGTAGGATCTTGACACTTGCAGAAATGATAGAACCATGTACAACAGAATCCTAGGTTTTACCCCTTTCTAGTTGTGATGATGTGTGTACAACTCTTAACACAGAGTAAGCACTCCGTAATCATCACCAGGTTTATTCTTGAACAACATACGTGATTAAAATGTCATTCAATTCAAAAATGCCCCCCATGTATATTGGGTATCTTTCCACCGAATATAACAATTACATTTGACTAGGTGAAAACAGATGAGTGAAAGCCAATTGAATTCATGATGGCGTATTATCTATCATTTGAAATATCTCTTTACAAATCTGTTTTCAAAGATATTGGGTCTTTGTCGATAGCAAAAAATGTTTATTTTTAAAATATTTAAAAAGATTTTACCTATTCATTTGACAGAGAGAAAGAGAGAGAGAGAGCACAAGCAGGGGGATAGCAGGAAGAGGGAGAAGCAGGCTCCCCACTGAGTAGGGAGCCCCGTAGCAGGACTCTATCCCAAGACCCCGGGATCATGATCCAAGGTGGAAGGCAGCTGCTTAACCAACTGAGCCACCTAGGCGTCCCACTAAATATGTTAAAAAGATTCTGGAAATAGCTTGTAATCATTCGGTCTACTCAAAGTGGATTCTTATTCTTGACTTCTTCTTTGAATGCTAGAATACAAACATAAGTTTCTTTTATCCTACATTTTAATGTCATAGTTAAAAAAGAACGAAAATTTGTATTCTCTCATTTTACTAATGATAATACTTCTCTAGGTGCTTACAAAGGTGCCTCAGAATTTTTGGGATGAGGACATAGGGCATGTGGTCAGGTATTTTTGTTATTGTTCCAAAATAAAATATATTAGATTGATGTTATTTGGGGAGTTTTGACAGTATGAATTAATTTAGCGAACATCTGCAATCTGCTTGACATTTGGTCTCATTTTTAAAATTCTAGTTTCAATATTTTGATGGTAAAGTTAGAAAATAAAATGGTAAAATATGACACATATGGAAAGCTTAAATACATTTTTAAAGAATAGATTAAAGACAAATTTTATTATTTTTTAAAGATTTTATTTTTTAATTTTTTTTTTACACCTAATGTGGGGCTCAAACTCACAACTCCAAGATCAAGTGTCAAAGGTTCCACCAACCAAGCCAGCCAGGTGCCCCAAGATTAGAAATAAATTTTAAAGTAAATGTATCTCTTTCTAATTCTCCACTTATTTGGAATTAAAATGGCTACTCCCTTTTTAAAGAAATCCTATATCATTTTTTTGATTATCAATCAAGTTCTGCCATTTAAAAGCCCAACTCTGGGGGCACCTGGGTGTGGCCCAGATTGTTGTTAAGATGGTTAGGCATCTGCCTTCAGCTCAGGTCATGATCTCCAGGTCCTGGGATGGAGCCCCATGTCAGGCTTCCAGCTCAGTGGGGAGTCTGTATTTGCCTCTCCCCCTGCTTGTGCTCTCTCTCTCTCTTGAATAAATAAATAAAATCTTAAAAAAAAATAAAGCTCAACTCTGATTTTTAACTCTCTCTTATATTCTATTTTTAATTTATTTTTAAGAGGTCCACTCCACCAACTGCCATTCTAACTGGCATCTAACTTCTTAAATAAGTCAGCTCAAGCAAAATTCCATACAGTAGTTAGGATTACCATGCAGAGGAAAACAAATGATTGGAGAGACAGATTTCAGACTGATTTATCACAGTGCCAAAATTCTTCACATGCCAAAAGATTTAAATTCTTTCAAAAATGTTTATTCATAAGCAATGCCTCTAAAAAGACTATAATCTATACAAAATAATTATTAGATACTCGACTAAATGCTAACATTCAGAAATTCAATCAGAGTGAAGAGACAAATAATTTCAGAAGTAGAAGAGAGTTAAAACTAAGCTACCAGAGAAAGAAAGGAACTAAATGACATACTATTTGTGTTATTCTCCACCCACTTATTGATATGGTTGGCCACAGCTATATTTTGACTGAAGTCCACATGATTTACTTCTGCTTTAAAGTACTTTTTCAGCATTTGCAAAAATTCCTCATTGACATGAAATCCATTTTGCACAAAGAGGGAGTTGGCAATTTTCATCACATACTGGCTCTCTTTAGCAGTGACCATGTTAGAAAAATCCTTCAAGAAGGAAAATTCATCACCTGCAAAATGACAAACAGTAAGTTTATTAGTGGAACAAACACAGTGAATGATCATGGGGAGTGGAGAAACACCAAAACACAGCAAGGGAGATAGAGGAGACAGGAGCCCAAGGGAAGAGCGGTATTTATTCCCCATAGCAACATGACAAGGAGGCTCCAATATTTGTGCCATTTCTAGATTTTCAAATTAACTTTGAGTATTTTGAACGGACATTATTTTTCATTTTAACTGATGTCTTGGTAGAATCTATTATAGAGATTTTTTGGTTGTCTCCTTTCAAAGTGCTTAGGTTATTCTCATTAAATTGGTCTTCATTCTATAATTAAGGAATAAGATTAAGCTTAATTACCTATTTTAAAAATCAAAATATTCTTTGAAATTTTACTTTCACTGAACTTTTTTTGTCTTATAACTAGAAAAGTCCCTTAGAAATCAGAGTTCTTAACTTTTTAATGAGTTGATTCTCATGCATATTAAAAATGTTAAAATAGAAATCATAAATCATGTCAAAATGATTACAAAATACCTTTTGGCTAAAAACTTTCTCCAATACATAACATTTTCATAATAATAAAACATATCAAAAAAATTCTTGGATGCTACTTTAAAAATGAAGATACAATTGGTTCTAAGCAAAAATTTCTGATATTCTTAGAGAATCTTGTTGCTTTTCTTCTAGCAGTTATCATGGTTGTAATTTTTCATTTATGTGATAATTAATTTACACATGCCTCTCCCTCTAGACTGGAAACTCAGTAAGAACCATGTTTGCTTTTATTTGTCACAGTGAGGTTTATTTTTAAATAATAATAATAATAAAATCTACAATTTCCTTAGATTAACTCAGCTAAGGATGCAGCAAGGAATTACTACTTTTCTTGGGTTTCCTGATGGTTCTCCTAACCATACTATCTCAGTGAGATCACTTTCTCACATTGTATGAATATTGCTACCTGTGGCCAAAGACAACATAATTGAGTAGAAAGTTAAAGCCAAACCACCTTGAAAAATTAAACCTAAGCACACTCACCATTTTTTAGGCTATCATATCCCATTGAATGACGGATTTCTTTCAGGGTAGACCCTTGGGCCCCAAGTTCCATCATTCCTATAGTGAAGGTAACACTCAATGGAGAGAAAAGAATATTTTCATCTTCCCCAGTGGCTCGAAGATGGTTATACATATTCACTGACAACTCAGCAATGGTTTCATCAGGGAAAGTGGCCCCTAAAGCCAGACTTTGTAGAATCAGCAAAGAGAAGAGTCTAAGGAAAACCATGTTGGGAGAGCTCAAGCCTGGAAAACAATAATTTCCATATTAATTATCACTGAGAATGGAGTGAAAGGCAAAAATAAAAAATAAAAATAAGAATTATTTCTTGGCAAAGTTGTAAAGCAAACCAATTTTCTAAACATTTACAGTGTTAATATCTCCTAACAAAAGTCCCTTTAAAGAATATGTTGGGAGATACTATTTTTAAAAAGGCAATTAATAGTCAAATGAACAAATTACATTGCTAATTCTGAGGATATTTCCAGGAACAGGGTCTCCCTGGTCCCCACCTTCATGGGGTTAAGAGTATGTATAGCTACATATATAATGGATAATTAAAAACCATGTTTGGTGAGGCTATTGTAACAATTTTTTATATCTTCACCATATATATTTTGGTCATGATTTTGACACAATTTACTCTAATTTACATCAAACTACACACGTCCAGGAGAACTATAATGGAAACCAAAAGATATTTACAGGGTTTAAGAGGAACTAGTGAAGTCAGGCATTTGAAAATGTTGGTTTACCCATTTACTCTAATTTATAAAAATTAATGCACCATGCAACTGGGTTGCCTTCTGGCAGGAAAAGATCAGACACACACCTGCCACTGGCCCCAGTGTATCAGCCCCAGCTGCAGAACCCACAGGAAGTGGTAACCCAGAGAAGAAGCAGGTTCAGCACATTCTTGTGTGCTTTTCCCTTCCACCGTGGCTCCTTGTGAGGCTGCTGCTCCCAGTGGCCATCTCTGGGCAGGGAGGAGCGTTCCACCATATTGACCTTTTAAATTCAGGCTGATTTACCATTTCAGCTTATACTGATGCTTCTTTTTCAATGAATATCAGACTTATCTGGTCCTTGAACCATTTTCTCTTTTGAAGAGAACGTGTCAGTGCCCAGATATCTCTGGCTAACATTTCTTCCTGGCACACCAGTATTCCAGAAGCCCTGTCTCCCCACAAACAGCGCACCCTGACCAGCACACAGCTGGGACAGAATTTCCTTCTTCCTTGTATTCTCCCTCTTTGTCACTGCAGGCATCTAAAAGCTGACCTGCCTAGTCAAACAATTAAGTAGCTTACTAGTTCTTGACCTTCAAGGAAAAAAAAAATTATCCTCAAAACAACATGTAAAGAGATCCTGAGCAAACACATTTGGAAAGCTATTTCAATGAGCATGGAGCGTTCACAGTCCCCTTTCCTTACAGAAGGAAGGCATACACATTTTACTTAAGAGCAAGGTGTTTCTGACAGGGGTTTGAGTCAGAATGTCCTCCTCACTCCTGTAGTGTTTTTAATCTCAACTTCCGGAGAACTGCCTATTAGTTTGTAAATCCTGCACGTTTTAGGGTTCAGTTTGGAGGAGCAGTTTTTTGCTGCTGTTGTTGTTTTTTGTTTTTTGTTTTTTTGGTCTGAGAAACTCCGAGCGCTGCTATCACCCCTCTGCTTTCGTATTAAGGTTTAGATCCTTTTTCCTTGGTTTAGGAAGGTAAGGCTCAGTCTGTATGTAAATTATGTAAATAGGGACTCTCACAACCATGCTGTGGGAGGGAGGATGGTTGCCTGTGGGGGATCAAGTGCATTGCTGCAGAACGGCGTCAGTGGCGCAGGCAGCACGGAGACTGAAGCACGGGGGTGCAGAACACAGCTGCCCCCGCCAGCCTGCGGGCTGGGGCTGTCCATGGGAGGCTGCCGTGGAATCCCGAAAACCCCCGCCCCGCCTTCTGTATTCCAGAGGATTCCAGTAAAAGGTAGAAGCAAAATAGGGCAACTTTCTCAGTCTCTAGATTCAGAAGAAAATTTAGCAGGTACCCTTCCAAATTGAAAGACACCCTAAGATATGCCCAGTATTAGGATGTAACACTGGTTACTAGAACTCATAAATCCAAGTCCCACTCAAGGGCCCATGATCTTACTCATGATACTATACTGCTGTCTGACATACCCTACAAAGACCCAAAGCTGGGCCTCATTACTTTCGTTTAATGTTATCTAGTAGAAGACCATGAAGCTGAAGTCACTACATGGGAGTGGTATCCATCCGTCATTCAGTAACATGGCTATTTGGAAACCATTGCTTTTAACACAATTATCAAATTTAAGGTTAACAAAAAGATTGCATTCCTATAAAACAAAAACCAACCTATTGCCAACCAACAAACATTCTAGAAAAACAAAGCCAAGTCTAATATATTCATCAGCATTTTTATTTACAAACGAATGTGCCATGAGATAAATAAGCTAACACGTGGCATATGACCTTTGGCAAATCACAAGCCTTCTCTGTCTTAGCTTCCTCCTTCATGAAATGAAGATGTCAATTTCTACTCCACACAATTATCAAAGATGTAAATGAAATAGTGTGTGTTGGAAGCACTCATTTTAAGCTACAAGTATACTAATAAAAAACATTATCATTAGAGAATATGTTTCCCAGGTTTGTATGTTTGCTAAGTTAAGGAAGAGACTCTAGAGCCAAAGATGATGTTTTATACTTCCTGTTGGCTCATCTAATGTAGCACTATTAAATGCCATTCATTCAGCCAAGATGAAAGAGGTACCACGAAGATACCAAAATGTATAAAAACGGAATCTCGTCCTCAAGAAACTCACAGCTTTGTACAAGAACATGTAATCTATTATTGTGGCTCTTCTCTATTTAAGAAAAGAGGTTCTTGTAAGAATCAGGAGAAGGGCAAACAGACTCTTCAGAAAATGCATGCACGTGGCTAACAGAACGTTACTTCACTGGCCAGGATATTTACTGGCTTCAGGTTAGGAACCCCTGGTCTGTGGCATATGGTCCAGAGGCAGAAAGAAGCAGTGTTTGGTGGACCTGCAGCTCTGCTGTGTTTCCTTATTGGGGAAAAGAGATGTCAAAACCACTAGTATATCTTCAGGCTCCCGGCAGACTCCTGGAAAGAACACCCGTAGGTTTGTGAGAGAGGGTTCTCCCCAGGGCAGCAAGCAGCGGCTACAATTTACATGCTCTGCTAGGAAATTAGAAGCAGTATGGCTCTGAATAGTGGGAGCGAGTTATATCAGGAAACTCTTTAGTCAAGATTTAAAGAACTCTGTTCTGGAAACACACATTTTATCTATAGTTAAGTGATCTCTCCTTCTCTTAAAGGCAAAATTTCCAGTGTGCCAGGAAAAGAGGAAAAAAAAAAAAGCCTTCTGCCAGGCTGGCCCAGCCTTTTTTATCTTATTTACCCCACCCCTAACACCCCCCCCCTCCGCCCCGGGCCCCTTCACCTCCCCTGCCTCTGACTGTTCCTTCTGAGGATTTTTTTTCTGGGGAGAAGGGAAGCTTCCCTTCTTCTGCCTTCTAAGCAGGGCGGGGTGGGGGGGGGGGGGGGTTCTCCAAGGATCTCTTCCTGGCCCTCTTCTCTTCTGTGTAATGTTCTTCTTGGGACTGCTGGTGAATTGCTCTCAAAACAAAGATACCTCAACTATTATCCCTGTTCATAGTATTCCCTAGTAAGTCAAATTCTAGCTCTGGATTTCTTTTTATCTTCAGTCCTTACGTGCATTGCAAATTGTTTTGGGATCATCTTAGTCTTTGACTCTGGTCCGCATTTCCAATTCAAGATCACTCAAACTGGACTCCTTGTCTTATCAATCAAGCCCAATCTCTTTTTCCCCCCTTTTCCCCTTTCTTTCTTAAAACATCAAAGTCTTTGACTCCTCGCCATCTCCCTTTCCCTTATGCTCAATGAGCTATCAACACTTACTCCCTAGAGTGTTCTGGGCATTTCTGCCACCCATTTTCCAATGACCACTCTGAGAGCCATAGTGGCAGTTCTTCCTCTTAATGCATTCTCAAGGACTCTACCAGTGACGTCCATCCATTCTCTGAAGCCCAAGTTACTGCCTTCTTCAATCCAATGGATGCACAGCCTCCAGATGAATTGTTTTGATGTACTATTATGAATAGGTATTCCTATAAATATAAAACCTCACAATCTTCCTCATGCCTATAGAGTAAAGCCCCAAATCTTTAGTCTCACTTTACTGTGATCCAACATGTTTCTACCCACTACCCCCCTTCAGGGATCCTGCAATTCAAGCCAGACTCCTTTTTGCAATACATATCCCAGAATTTCTGTCTCCTGTTGCTGGCTTGTGTCATTCTCTCTCTGGAACTACTTCAACCTGGTTCCATATGTTCAAATCCTAACCACTCCTCAAGGTTCTGCTCCACTTCCATTTCCTTCATGAATACCCTCCTGGTTTTTCAGTTACAACAGCAATTTCCCCCTCCTTTGAAACAGTGGCACATTTTATCTCTACTTCTCCAACAGCACATACCACTGCTTCCTCCTACTACAGATAATTCTGTGCCCGAGTCAGCTCGTTTCCTCGGCTTTTTGAAGACACAGAAGTGCATTCCTCTTCGTCTACTTTAAAATAATCAGCATAAGCACTTAATGCATTGCATATCGTAGTAACCAAATATTTGTTGAATGCATACAGCTTGAGATGGGAAGGCTCACAAATGCTGCATTAGAAGGCATAGCAAGAGAAGCTGCTGTTCCTCAATTCTCGAAGCTAATTTAATCTTAGCCCACAGGTAGTGGCTCATTTCCATTTTTTATTCCCTCTGATAAAGTGCTTCCTTATTGAGTCTGAGACCATCTTTCCCATGTGACAAAGTGGCACTGTCACCAATGCTGGCATCATGCAGCGGCTGGACACAGGATGCATTAAAAAACAAGGGCACCACCTTGAAAAATCACACAAGGTGCTACCCCAATGTTTCTGTATTAACATTACTCTACAAAACGCCAGGGCCTTACCATTAATCATAATAATCAACACATTCTAGAATGAATTACTCTCACATGGAGCATGATTTTGTAGATGCATTATTTTCAAGCTACAGAATACAATGCCTTTACATAAACACCAGGAGCCACCGTACCAGAATGGTGGGAGATTGTGCTCTTGTGCTAGAAAAGGCAGAGCTACAAATAAACTGCCATTAACTCTTGCATATCTCCTTTAGGTTGCCCGTG